GAAAAAGATGTACTTGAGAAAAGGAGAGGGCCGGTGAATGAGAGGAAAATGCCCGTGGTGATAGTGTGACACAATGACTCAACAATAAGAACAAACACAACAGAAATGATGAGGATGGAACAGGCCAGCGCAGAGTTACCTTCCTTTCACCAAAGGGTCACAAAGATTTAGAGCAGTCTCAATGATACCTCGCAACAAAAGCCAGTTACTGTTCAGTCAGCTTTGACTTATGGAGACCCCATGTGTATCAGCAGAACTGTTTATCATAGGTGCCAATAGCTTCTATTTTGAATATAAGTTCACAGATCTTTCTTTCAAGGTATGTTTAGGTGGACTTGAACCTTTCTGTTAGTAGTTGAGACCATTAATCATTTGTATTACCCCAATTTCCAAATAGATTGTAGGGATTCCTTATCTGATAAGAGCAATGCCTATAGAGACTAGAAATGGAGGAGGAGAGGAAAAAAAAAAACCAACCCAACCCAACTCTGAGAGTCTACAGATCCCTCCCAGTACAGAGAACTCGAACTTCATAGACTACTTAGCTGAACTTTTCCATTTTAGACCCTCTTTTCTTGCTGTCCTGCCTTGTCAGTTTGATGAAAACAATGCTTCCACATCCCCTTCTCCCTCTGCACTCACTGGGTTGCTTGGCGTCTCTGCTGAGGTAAGGCCAAAGAGTGTGGGTCCATGGTTCTACCCCTTCCCAGTAGCCAGTGAAAGCTGTGTCTCTTTCCTTGGGATTGGCAGGAAGACAGACTCAAGCATGAGTGTTCTGATGTGGATGCTGATTCTGGGAGAGGAGACACATGTATGTGGTCTGCTGGATTAGAGAGAGTTATCTGAAGGACTGGAGACACAGGCTAATTAATTTATAGTCCTAAGTCTTTGAAAGCACCGAAGTCACAATTAGCCTAATTGATCTATGCTAGCCCAACCTCTAAGGACTTGTTAAGTAAAAGGATGAGCAAAGACAGAAAACAAAAAAGAATGCCTTGGAAGGATCAGGGCTCTTATCTCAAGAGTAATTGCATCTGTTCTTCTCATTTCTGACTTAAAGTTTAAGCAAATAAACATCCTCCCATTTTTCTTGAGTCCATTTAGACTCCTGGAGAGTCTATGTATTTTTGGGTAAACCGGTGATTCCTTAGGGATTTCTTGGCTATAATCTTAATGAAATTAGATCATTTGTCCTTTCTTCCATGAGACAGCTGGGTGGTTTTGAACTACCAACCACCAGGTTAGCAGTAAAAACCAAACTATCTGCACTCCATAGGAACTGTAAGAAGCTTGGCATGAAATTGAGACTCTTAAATATTCAAATAGTGACATAAACAGAGAATCGTAACAAGAACAGCTTTGAAGATGACATTTCCCGATGTTTGCTATAGCTTGTTTTTTGAAGCGTTATCTTTAGGTTCTAGCCACACATACAAGGAGAGATTGTACCAGGATATGAATGTGAGGCATTGATTGTCACCGGAAAAGTATTAAATGCTGCCCACCACACATATTCCACCAGATTGTTGAGCCTGAAGCTCAGCATAGTCCCCAACCATCACACCTCATCTTCTAAAAAAAGCATTCCTTGGCAAACTACACAGGAAAGATCTCCCCACACACTTCTGTACAATCCACCTTGCTGTTCCTGTGATTGAACAGTTATGATAAGCCTCCTCTGTTGTTGTTATGTGCCATTGAGTCGCTTGTGACTCATAGCGACCGTATGTACAACAGCCCTAAACTCTGCTCTGTCCTGTGCCAATTGCACTGTCTCTGACACACCCATCCCAATTATCCCAGTCACTGAATCAATCCACCTCATAGAGGGCCTTCCCTTCCTGCGCTGTCCCTCCACCCTACCAAACATGATGTCTCTCTCCAAGGACCGGTCCCTCCTTACAACACGTCCAAAGTATGCTAGATGGAGCCTCAGAATCCTTGACTCCAAGGAGCAGCCCGGTTTAACCCTTTCCAGGATGAATCTGTTTTCCTACCAGTCCATGTCACCCTCAATACTCTTCTTCAGCACCACAGCTCAAAGACATTAATTCTCTTTCTATCCTTCCTAGTCATTGTCCAACTCTCTGATGCATAGCAAATGATTGCCAAGACCATGGCCTGTATCAGATGCGCCTTAGTCTCCAGAGAGACATCATTGCTCTTCAGTACTTTAGAGAGGTCCCTAACAACAGACTTTCCCAGGGCAATACGTCTTTTAATTTCCTGGCTGCTGGTGCCAAGAGTGTTGACTGTGGAGAAAAAGTCTCCTTTATATGTGTTAAAGATTAGTGTTCCACTAATGATAACATGCCACCCTGTCGTCACTCTGTGTCCAAATTCAAGAAATACTGCCAACACCTGACTTCTGCTTGCATAGAAAAAGCTCATCACTTTACTCCATAATGTAACTGAATTTTACTTGTGCTCAAAACTCATGAAGTCTTTTAATAAAAATGTGCTTTTGGCTTATCTAGCTCCCCCTAGTAGATAAAATGAAATGAGAGAGGGTTGTACCTTTTATATCCTATCCATGTGGCCGCTTGTATAAGGCTTCTCAATTTTGAATAATTAAATGACTGGATTGTAATTAAACAATATGAAGAAAGTTTGAGTATTTTTACCCAGTGTAATTTAATATGGACATAAGGATAGAACAACCTATGGATGATTAAATGTCTGATGGTGTTTTCAGGGAATACTAATGACAGATCTTCCCAATGCTCATTAGAAGCAAAGATGTTATTGTTAGGTGCTGTCTAATTAAGTATGACCCATAGTGACCCAAATGAACAAAAGATCTGAACTCTGTCCTATCCTGTGCCATTCTTACATTTCCTGACACCATAGAGCCTATTGTGGCAGTCACTGTGTCAATCTACTACTTGATGGTCTTCCTCTCCTTTGCCAACCCTCTCTGCCTTTCCAAGCATCATATCCTTCTCCAAGGAATAACCTCCCCTAGCAACATGCTTTCTGGGTCATTCAATATATTGACCATAGCATCTTTGAATATTGCCTCATGAGGCTTAAATTTGTTTTTCAGTTCTTTGGACTTTAGAAATGCAGAGTGAGTTCTCCCCCTCCTTCACAGTAAGATAAAGGTAAACAACCCAATTGCAAAATGGGCACAGGATATGAACAGATACTTTACCAAAGAAGACATTCAGATGGCAAACAAACATGAAGAAACATTCAAAATCCTTAACTCTAAGAGAGATGCAAATCAAAACAACTATGAGATATCATCTCACCCCAGCAAGAATAGCAAAATTTAACAGAGCAGCAAACAACAAATGCTTGTGAGGTTGTGGAGAAACTAGAACCCTTATTCACTGTTGGTGGGAGTATAAAATGGTGCAACCACCGTGGAAGGCGGTATGGTGCTTTCTCAAAAAGTTGCAAATAGAAATACCATTTGACCCAAATTTATAATTCCATTACTAGGAATATACCCCAAAGAAACCATAACTTCCACCCAAGCGGATATATGCACACTCGTGTTTATTGCAGCTTTGTTCACTATAGCAAGGAGTTGGAAACAACCTAAGTGTCCATCAACAAATGAATGGAGAAGCTGTGGTTTTTTTTCACACAATGGAATATTATGCAGCACTGAAAAACAGAGAACTCGTGACTATGGAGGACATTATACTGAGTGAAATATCTCAGTCACAAAAAGATAAATACTGCATAATGCTATTGTTATAAAACAGGGTTGACAGAGGGGTTGGGGGAAACTAGGAAAAGAGGAGATAAATAATGTACATGACATTGCAACAGAAGAGGGAGAGAACTGTATAAAAGGAATATATAATTAGGTATTATTTGCATGACAAGAGTCAAGAATAAGAGCTGCGTAGTAAAGTGGACTGGGAGGGGGGCGTTTGGGAATGTATCACAGTGAAATAATTTTTTTTCCCAAAGGAAAAAGTGAACTGGAGGTGGGCAGGGAGGAAAATGTGCAACAATGAATGAATGAAAATCCAGGTTCTCTCTAAACTTTCATTAAAATCTCAAATAAAAAAGAAGTGTTGAAGGAAAAATTGCAACAATGTTAGAAGCTCTAATTTATGGCATAAATAGACTATCAAGTGAAGTTTCTCAATCAAGAGAGGACCAACTAGAAAATGGGG